CTTGTATCCTTGTATCCTTGTATCCTTGTATCCTTGTATCCTTGTATCCTTGTATCCTTGTATCCTTGTATCCTTGTATCCTTGTATCCTTGTATCCTTGTACCCTTGTAATCGTGTCTGCTGTATCCTTTATCCTTATATATCCTTTTATCCTTGTATCCTAATATTCTTTTTATCAAATTATTTTATCCGTGATTTTTTTTACTTCCCCAGTTTTCCTGGTTAGAAATCCTATTCTCTTGAGTAGTGTGACAACCTTTAATCCCTGGATAAACATGTTTTTCACGTTATTTTTCAATCTTTAGAGAGATCCATTATTATCTCGCCCACCTCTCTAACCCATATAAATCCCATAAGCATCACCTTCCTCATAAGCACGGGGGAGATGGGGGAGGGAAATGGGCTTACACATTATGAATGATTTAGTCTGGAGATCTACCTTGGACTTCTTAGATGTCTGAAAGTCACTGTATCTTTTGACTGTTGACTCGTCTCCACAAGATAAATATCTGTGTGAAGAGAAGATAAACCTAAGGTTGCGGTTCCTGGGATACAAACCTCTCAAGGTTCAGATTGTTTACAGTCATAATAGTCTGTCATTGCGTTAACATTTTATCCAATATTGAGTTCAGATTCTCCAGTATTGAGTTTAGATTCTCCAGTATTGAGTTCAGATTCTCCAGTATTGAGTTTAGATTCTCCGGTATTGAGTTTAGATTCTCCTGTAATGAATTCAGATTCTCAAGTATTGAGTTCAGATTCTCCAGTATTTGAGTTTAGATTCTCCGGTATTGAGTTCAGATTCTCCAGTATTGAGTTTAGATTCTCCGGTATTGAGTTTAGATTCTCCAGTATTGAGTTTAGATTCTCCAGTATTTAGTTCAGATTCTCCATTATTGAGTTTAGATTCTCCAGTATTGAGTTTAGATTCTCCAGTATTAAGTTTAGATTCTCTGGTATTGAGTTCGGATTCTTCTGTATTCATGAGTTCGGATTCTCCAAGCTGAGTTTAGATTCTCCAGTATTGAGTTCAGATTCTCCAGTATTGAGTTCAGATTCTCCAGTATTGAGTTCAGATTCTCTAGGATTCAGTTAAGATTCTCCAGTAATGAGTTCAGATTCTCCAGTTTTCAGTTCAGATTCTCCAGTATTGAGTTCAGATTCTCTAGTATTGAGTCCCGATTCTCCAATATTCAGTTCAGATTCTCCAGTAATGAGTTCAGATTCTCCAGTTTCAGTTCAGATTCTCCAGTATTGAGTTCAGATTCTCCAGTATTGAGTTCAGATTCTCCAGTATTTAGTTCAGATTCTCCAGTATTGTGTTCAGATTCTCCAGTATTAAGTTTAGATTCTCTGGTATTGAGTTCAGATTCTCCAGTATTGAGTTCGGATTCTCCTGTATTCATGAGTTCGGATTCTCCAAGCTGAGTTCAGTTTCTCCAGTATTGAGTTCTGATTCTCCAGTATTGAGTTCAGATTCTCCAGTATTGAGTTCAGATTCTCCAGTATTGAGTTCAAATTCTCCAGTAATGAGTTCAGATTCTCCAGTTTTCAGTTCAAATTCACCAGTATTGAGTTCAAATTCTCCAGTATTGAGTTCAGATTCTCCAGTATTCAGTCCAGATTCTCCAGTATTGAGTTCAGATTCTCCAGTATTGAGTTCAGATTCTCCAGTATTGAGTTCAGATTCTCCAGTATTGAGTTCAGATTCTCCAATATTCAGTTCAGATTCTCCAGCATTGAGTTCAGATTCTCCAGTATTGAGTTCAGATTCTCCAATATGCAGTCCAGATTCTCCAGTTTTCAGTTCAGATTCTCCAGTATTGACTTCAGATTCTCCTGTATTGAGTTCAGATTCTCCAGTATTTAGTTCAGATTCTCCAGTATTGAGTTCAGATTATCCAGTATTGAGTTCAGATTCTCCAGTATTGAGTTCAGGTTCTCCAGTATTGAGTTCAGATTCTCCAGTTCTGAGTTCAGATTCTCCAGTATTCAGTTCAGATTCTCCAATATTGAGTTCAGATTCTCCAGTAATGAGTTCAGATTCTCCAGTATTAAGTTCAGATTCTCCAGTATTTAGTTCAGATTCTCCAGTATTGAGTTAAGATTCTCCAGTATTTAGTTCAGATTCTCCAGTATTGAGTTCAGATTCTTCAGTATTGAGTTCAGATTCTCCAGTATTGAGTTCAGATTCTCCAGTATTCAGTTCAGATTCTCCAGTATTCAGTTCAGATTCTCCAGTATTGAGTTCAGATTCTCCAGTATTGAGTTCAGATTCTCCAGTATTCAGTTCAGATTCTCCAGTATTGAGTTCAGATTCTCCAGTATTGAGTTCAGATTCTCCAGTATTGAGTTCAGATTCTCCAGTATTGAGTTCAGATTCTCTAGTATTCAGTTCAGATTCTCCAGTATTTAGCTTAGATTCTCTAGTTCCGATTCTCCAACATTGAGTTAAAATTGTATAAAATTCACATTTTCTGAAATTCAGTTCAAATTCTAAAGTATTCAGATTGGAAAATCCCTTGTTTAAGAAAAACTGAGTCATTTCGTCTCATTAAAAACTTTTATCTTTCCCCAATATTGCAGTGCAGAGCTGAAAACTAATCCGAAGGTAAAATTATAGATTTTCTTGAAATAAATCCCTGAAAATCTGGTTGGAGAAAATTCTATAATGTTCAAAATTAACGTGAGAATCCATTAAATAATATTATCAAGCAATAAACAACAAATTAAGGAGAAGACCTAAAAATACATTTTTTAATTGTTTAATTAAATTTACTTAACTATTTACATTCAACCTTCCAATAAATATACAAAATCTTATTTAGAATAAAACTTATTGAAGGACTTGTTGCCCAAGTTACTAACGCTATGTTTACATTTACTTCAAGTTACCACTTTAAAAATCATTTTTGATCGTTAAACCGAAAATTGTTCAAAAATTTATTAATTTGAATTCAAATTATCTACTCGCTATATCCTTGTGAGCCAATGTCGAAGACCTTTTATATTTCAAACTATGAATTCTGTGAGATCAAATATTCTAAGTTTGAAATATCAAAGGTTTATACTATCAGGTTGTAAAGATATAGCGAATAGATAATTTGAGTTTGTGGCAAAAACTCAATTTATTTTGAAGATATTCACAATACTCACATGTCTCAAAGAATTTTGTATTTTTTTACTTTCAAAACATCTTAAAATCCCTAAGTTTGTCGGGCCACCCTGTACCTCTCGTGTTGGAGCCTTAGGGTTAGATGTTGTTGTTTCTAGTTCCTGACACCAGATGGTTTCAATGCCGGAGCAAACATGTACTTATTTATCCCGGATAATATATCCATTCATCATTAGATATCCATATTCCTACACTTTCTTTATCTATAGATATCCATATACTTGTACTTTCTTTATCCATGGATATCCATGTTTTTATACTTCCTTTATCTATAGACATCCATATTCTTATACTTTCTTTATCCATAGACATCCATACTGCTATACTTCCCTTATCCATAGACATCCATATTCTTACACTTCCTTTATCTATAGGCATTCATACTGTTATACTTCCCTTATCCATAGACATACATACTCTTTTACTTCTCTCATCCATAGACATTCATACTCTTACACTTCCCTCATCTATAGACACCCATATTCCCCAACTTGTCCCTACATAGAGCCTGGAACAGTTATACAATCCTCTAATACCAGCAAGAAGATTGAGATTAATGGAACTTTCAACTGTAAGACCAGAAATGTAGTTTACTGTATACCATGTGAACACTGTAAACTACAATATATAGGACGAACAACAAGATCTTTAGATGAAAGAGTGAGAGAACATATTGGTTACATTAGAAATCTCCATACAAACCAGCCTACAAGAGAACATTTTAACCTTCCTGGACATGAACTCTACCATCTAAAAGTTAGCGTTCTAGAGAAGGTTTGGGACCACGGAAGAAGTTTACTTGAAGTACGAGAATCTAAATACATCAGAGATTTTATGACTGAACTCAGAGGAATGAACAGAAAAAAATAGTTTTATTTAATTGTTAACTGTAATTCAGTATTTTTAAAAAAAGAGTTTTTTATGTCCAATTCTTTAAAAGGTTTTAAATCCCCCTCCTCAAACAAGCCGTTCCCCCCCCTCCCCCTCCCCCGACTCACGGAAAAGTTCGTTATAATTAGATCGACCCCCACCCCATCTCAATATTCACACATCTACACAGTTTGTTTTTAATCTTTGTGAAGAAACAATCTCAAGGAATAATAAATGTCTAAAAACATTTTTTTAGAAAGTGAATATTTGCAAATTATCTTATTTCCATCTCATAATCTGAGTTCTTTTCCCTTATGTCCATTTGACAGCCCAAATTTTTATTTTGAATAATCTTTTTGTTTGTTTATATTCTTGTGATTTTTATATTTTTTTATTTTTTATCGATTTTGATGGTTATTATATCGTTAGAACTGACGAGGGTTAACCCAGACCGAAATATATTTTCAATAAATGTGGAACTAACATCTACTTTTTTACTATACAGAGGTTTGGTCCATCAACATCACTGAATTTTAAATCATATTCTTATACTTAATTTATCCATTGACGACAACCATTCGTTATACTTCTCTTATCCATAGACATCCATACTCTTGCACTGTTATTCCTAAACATCAACATTCTTACATACTTTAACCATGGACATCCATTTGCATACTTCTCTTATCCATGACATCCATATTAGTATACTTACCTTATCCATAGGCATCCATATTCTTATTCTTCTCTTATCCATTGACATTGACATTCTTAAACTTACATTTACTTCCATATCCTTGCACATCCCTTTCAATAAAGTTTCCTATTCTCATACTTTCATATCAATATATGTATATACATACTTCCCGATGTACATACTAATAAAATATCCTCATACAACTTCCAAATCTCTTTTTACTCTTGTACTTTTGTAGTTTAATAGCTAATGGCAACTTCTTGATAAATCTTTAAACTATTCATTATTAAAATCTCTTTCAGGAGTTTTAAACTATTCTAAACTTCTAAATTAATTAACGGAAAATTATCAAAATGGAGAAAATTGAAAGTGGTAAAAGCCAGCGTCATGTGGGGGGAGGATATATGTTTGTGTTTGGTTGGAGGGGAGATATGTTTGTATTAGGTTGGAGGGGAGATATGTTTGTGTTAGGTTGGAGTGGAGATATGTTTATGTTAGGTTGGAGTGGAGATATGTTTATGATAGGATGGAGTGGAGATATGTTTGTGTTAGGTTAGAGGGGAGATATGTTTATGTTAGGTTGGAGGGGAGATATGTTTATGATAGGTTGGAGTGGAGATATGTTTTTGTTAGGTTAGAGGGGAGATATGTTTATGTTAGGTTGGAGTGAAGATATGTTTATGTTAGGTTGGAGGGGAGATATGTTTATGATAGGTTGGAGTGGAGATATGTTTGTGTTAGGTTAGAGGGGAGATATGTTTATGTTAGGTTGGAGTGGAGATATATTTATGATAGGTTGAAGTGGAGATATGTTTATGATAGGTTGGAGTGGAGATATGTTTATGTTAGGTTAGAGTGGAGATATATTTATGTTAGTTTGGAGTGGGATATGTTTGTGTTAGGTATGAGAGGAGATAAGTTTGTAAATGATTTGAACGGAGATATGTTTGTGAATGGTTAGAGAGGCCGGAGATATGTCAATACAATTAAAGATTTAATTTGTCTTAGTATCTGTAAACTCTTGAACAAAACCTCCTTACACAGAAATATAAAAATCAAGATTAACAAATCACAAAAAAAAACACTAATAATATCGGCCATTGTTTTGCTTTTATGCTTTAGAAATCCACGAACTCCTTTCTAAAAGGGTCGCAGCTGGAATATTTTAATTATTCTGGAAAAAGGTTATCTCTTATCTATGCTCAGTTATAAGGTAAATGCTTTATCGCTGGTTCCGGATCTTTAAAATCGAGGGCTGTTTTTAATTCCTTTAACCCAATCCTTGCAGAAAAAAAAGTTTCCAGGTTTCCCTAAATAATATTAAATATTATCTGCTTTTCGCAAGTTTATCTCCATCTTACATTTAAAAAGAATGATGTTAAAAAGTTTGAGAATTTTCCAGTTTTTTTTATTGGGAATTACAAATTAAAAAATTTTCAGGAACATTTTCATCTTTGACCGGACATAAACTTTACCTAAGTTTACATGAAGCCTATAAAAAAATATTTATGAGCCCTTTTGGCTTTTATTGGACACAACCCAAAGAACAGGCAAACAGATAGAAGTAAAACAACTGCTGGTAATCATTTATAAAATTATTAAATATTTAATCAAATATTTAAGTTTGAAGATGAACAGCGCTAAAGATGTTTTTTAAAACATTTAATTGTATTGATAGTTAAACGGAATCTGAATTTCAAAAGAAAAAGTATAAATTGAGTTTAGTTTCACTTGACTGAGTTTGATACTAAGTTAAAGTGGATTTCTCGATCTAATTACCGACAGTTTGTAAACTTTTACCGTAGTAGAGAGAGGAGCAAAGTAACACATATTTTATTCCCTACTCTCAACCCTCCTCCTGAATACTAATCCAGGTTCATGCTTACTCTGTACACTCTAGTATATTTACTTCATATCCAGTATATTTAGTATCCGTCCTTACTCCATATCCAGTATAATTAGTATCCGTCCTTACTTAATATCCAGTATATTTAGTATCCGTCCTTACTCCATATCCAGTATATTTAGTATCCGTCCTTACTTAATATCCAGTATATTTAGTATCCGTCCTTACTCCATATCCAGTATAATTAGTATCCGTCCTTACTTCATATCCAGTATATTTAGTATCCGTCCTTACTTCATATCCAGTATATTTAGTATCCGTCCTTACTCCATATCCAGTATATTTAGTATACGTCAATTACTCCATATCCAGTATATTTAGTATAAGTCCTTTCTCCGTATCTAGTTTAATAAGTATTCGTCCTTACTCCATATCCAGTAAATTTAGTATCCGTCCTCACTTAATATCCGTTATATTTAGTATACGTCCTTACTCCATATTCATAATATTTAGTGTCCGTCTTTACTCCATATCCATTCTACTTAATTAATCCGTATCCAGTAAATACGTATCCGTCCTTATTTCATATCAAGTATATTTAGTATTCGTCCTTACTCCGTATATAGTATAATAAGTTTTGGTCCTTACTTCATATCAAGTATATTTTGTATTTAGTGTCCGTCCTTACTCCATATCCAGTATAATTAGTATCCGTCCTCACTTAATATCCGTTATATTTAGTATACGTCCTTACTCCACATCCAGTATATTTAGTATACGTCCTTACTCTTTTTCTAGTATATTAGTATCACTACATGGTCGTTAGTATACCATTCCTTGTTATATAAATATATCTATACTTTTCCCTGTCTATAGATCTAGGTTTAACACCTTGAAGAGTATAAACTGATGTCGTGTAATGTATTTTTCTGAGACCTGAGATGGTTAAAAGTGACCATAACCGAGGCAAATATGGGATATTTTGGTGATTTGTTCACACACAAACACACTTCATTTATCCTCTCCTGTCATCCTTACATAGACCAGATATCTGCATATTTTTCTTAATATATAGTTGATGATCTGATTTAATTTTAGAACAGTTTCTAAAGTTTCAAGATCAAAACATCTAAAAAATTTTTCTTCAGGTTTTGCTGTCAGGAACTCTTATGATTAATGGCAGTCCCGAGGTTCTTGATGAAACTCCTCCTTCTCCTCCTTACAAACCTGATCCTCCTGCTCCATACCATTCTTCTCCATATATACCTCCTCCCCCACCTCCCCAGTATGCTCTAACACAAGGTCCACAAATACCTGCTCATCAGCTAGATCCTCACAGATATGGATACACTCCTGCTCCGCATCCCTATTCTCCACCCCATTCTCCTGCATACTCTCCCTCATCCTATCCTTATCCTCCTTCAGATGCAGGATACGGATATACTCCAGCTCCAGGTTATGCAGCTCCACATCACCCAAATCTTGCTTCTTATCGTCAATCCCCTCCTCTTTACCATCCAACTCCTTCTCCATACCATCCGACTCATGCTCCTTATCATCCAACCCCTGCTGCATACCATCCAAACCCTGCTCCCTATCATCCTTCTCCGACTCCCTACCAGCCCTCTCCAGCTCCCTATCATCATGCTCCTGCAAAACATAACCCACAGTATGACGGCCCTCCAGCCTGCAGTAAGAACACCACCAAGTCCTGGTGTCTCGAAGACCCTGAGTATCCGTCCCATGATATCGCTCATGCTATTGAGTACAACTATGTTGGAGTAGCAACCCTGTATAAGGATGTTCTAGCAAACACTGAGAATAGTGTAGACCGGTTGGTTGAGCTACCCCAGGAAACCTATCTCTGTCCGTCTAGAACTGAATACATGATGCCTCTTCGAGCTCAGGATTCAGAAGGAAAATGGAGGATTATTGTGAACGGAGTAAAAGCTCACTATGAAACTTTAACCCAGACTGGTCGAGTAGAGGAATGTGAGACTGCTGGTTCATCTTGTCCTCTTGTTCCAGACTGTTATCCAACCAAGTGTGTTCAGAAATCTATCTATCACAGGTAAACCAAGTATAATATCAAATATCTACATGTATACATCAACTAAAATACCGAAAAAACTTCCAACAAAATTAAATATCCTCGCTGTTAGAAGAAACCCTAATATTTTGTTTGTATTATCAAAATTATGAACATTTTGTTCGAGATTATGAACATTTTGTTTAAAGTTGTGGACATTTTGTTCGAAATTATGAGCATTTTGTTCGAAATTATGAGCATTTTGTTTAAAGTTATGAACATTTTGTTCAAAATTATAAACATTTTATTAAGAATTATGAACATATTGTTTCGAAATACATTCGGTGAGTTCTATATTTCTTTTAACAGTTATGCATATATAAGGGTTTAAATAAAATTCCTACTATAAATAATTTAAATGGTCATTAACTAATGTCCCTCCAATTTTAAGGTTTCTAGTGTATGATCCATATGATCATTATTTCCCCTTCTCCATGGCTCTCTTCAAACTTCCGAGTTCCTGTGCTTGTTATAACGGAGCCTTCATAGAAACTCACTAGGAGAAAAAACTGTCCTCATCAGATCTTTTGGTCAATCCGTCAATCCGTCTCGGTCAAATGATTTTTCTCGATCCAAATTGATTAAACCATCTAGATCAACCAATGATGATCATCATTAATGTGCAACAGTTCTGTTCAATCCATCCTGGTGAAACTATTCAGTTCAATCCGTCCGAACAAGACAATACTAACCAATTAGGCCTGATCAGACAATTCTAATCAATTAGGCCTGATGAGACAATACTAACCAATCATGCCTGATCAGATAATACTAACCAATTAGGCCTGATCAGACAATTCTTATCAATTAGGCCTGATAAGACAATTCTAATCAATTAGACCTGATCAGACAGTTCTAATCAATTAGACCTGATCAGACAATTCTAATCAATTAGGCCTGATCAAACAATACTAACCAATCATGCCTGATCAGACAATACTAACCAATTAGGCCTGATCAGACAATTCTTATCAATTAGGCCTGATAAGACAATTCTAATCAATTAGGCCTGATCAGACAATTCTTATCAATTAGACCTGATAAGACAATTCTAATCAATTAGACCTGATCAGACAGTTCTAATCAATTAGACCTGATCAGACAATTCTTATCAATTAGGCCTGATCAGACAATTCTTATCAATTAGACCTGATAAGACAATTCTAATCAATTAGGCCTGATAAGACAATTCTAATCAATTAGACCTGATCAGACAGTTCTAATCAATTAGACCTGATCAGACAATTCTAATCAATTAGGCCTGATCAGACAATTCTAATCAATTAGGCCTGATCAAACAATACTAACCAATTAGGCCTAATAAGACAATTCTAATCAATTAGGCCTAATAAGACAATTCTAATCAATTAGGCCTGATCAGAAAATTCTAATAAATTAGGCCTGATCAGACGATTCTAATCAATTAGGCCTGATCAGTCAATTCTAATCAATTCGATTTGCTCAAAACAATATAAGAATTTCAGTCTGAACTTTAAACCCAGATAAATTAAATCCGTTTTTATCTGACAGGTTTGATCTTGATCAATCAGTTCTTATTCTAGTCAAAGAACCACTATATAAACTTCATAAACAAATTAATTGATCATGACAAAATCGGATTTTCTTATCTTTATATCTATACAACCCAAAGTAGTAAACCTTAGATATTTCAAACTATGAATGTCTGTCATATTTACAGCAACAAGTCTAAGTTTGAAATATCAATAGTTTGCACTATCAGGTTGCAACCGGATTAGTAAATTTGAGATTGTGGCAAAGACTCAATTCCTGTTCACAGTGATTAAACAATAAACGTCCTGATCTAAAAAATCTGACTAAATAAGCTGAACTAAAGTCAATCTGTCTGAATCCAACCTGATCCATTAATAACTCCATTACTAACTGATCCACCCTGTGAAGATATCCCGAGATATGAACCGGAAGGAGGAAAGAAGATGAATCTAAGATAGATATACTCCGCAACCTTCATGTTGTGAAACCTTCATTTCAAATTTGTAAAACATAAACCCTCATATTTGCAATTTTTTAAACATCCTTCAGTGTTTATATGTCATTAATTCTAACATTGGAAATATGAATCATGTTCATATTTTCTTCATTAACAAGCAAAGTCAAGGATTAAGACAGGACTGAACAATTTGTTAATTCAAATCCACAAATTCGTACATGAACACTGAACAGTCTAGTCACAAACAACCTAAATTGACATTCTGTTATTTGTTTGTTTGTACATAGTTGAAAAACCTGCAGCATTTGTTAATTTATTGTTTAACCTATTACTAGTAGAATCTTATTCATGAATTTGTTGTTTTAACTTGATCTTACTGAGCAACACTACCTGCGCTTAATCTGCTGCATTTTCCATATTGCATTTAAGCAGAACACTCTTTTTGCCATGTCTCAGTCATTCGATTAAGCAGAACCTGTTTTCTGCTTTATATCCGTGATCGAATCCCAGCAGAACTTGTTTTCTGCTGTAGGTAATCAAATCTCAGCAGAATCTGTTTTCTGCTTTAATTCCGTAATCAAATCTGAGAAGAACCCTTTTTTTGCTGTAATACAGTAATCAAACCTTAGCAGAACCTGTTTCCTGCTGTTATTCCGTATCCAAGGATCAGCAGAACCTGTTTCCTGCTGTTATTCCGTATCCAAGGATCAGCAGAACCTGTTTTCTGCTGTTATTCTGTATCCAAGTATCAGCAAAACCTGTTTTCTGCTGTTATTTCGATCTGTGCATAACGTAAAATTATCTCAGTAGATCCTCTTCTCTTCTTCCTGTTTATGTAATCAAATCTTAACTGAAATGGATGTAATTACTTTTTAGTTTTATTTATGTAAAACATACTCTCTGTAGGTTGTATAGACCTATTTCTGGTTATGTTTATGTAATCGGCTTTATGTAGGACATAAAATGTGTGTAATTTATGTAATTTATTCAAAGTTTTTACGATTATGTGATCTAGTCTACATATTTAGGATCTATAATTGGTTCTATATGTATGTAGGTAGACTGTGTAAATTGTTTGAAATATACCTACTCATTGAAGTAGCAGTCAGTTGAGGGCATTTATACATTCTAGCAAGTGCTATGATGAGTAGCTCAGTTCTGAATTGAGAAGGTTTAAAGCTACTCAGAAAATGTGCACGCTCTCATCTAACTGGTATTATAATTAGTAGATTTATTAAAACATTGTGGTGTCTATAAGATATTATAATGATGTAATCTAGTAAAGACATAGATCCAGTAATCAGTATTGAATCCTTGAACGTTAAAGTTTAGTTTTGTTTAACCTAGGGCTAGAATATTAACGTCTTGACAAAACAGTTCCGTTCCAAAACCTGAGTCAGTACACCTTGATATACAGAGAAACCCATAAAGTATAAGACTTCAGAGACGACTGCACTTGGTTCCTTGTAACATTTAAATAGTTTTTTAATGAAGTGTAGGTCGTCATTAAATTCTCATCTTTTGTGGGTACCTTTGTATTTATTCTAGCTCTAGAGTAAACCTTAATGTTCAAGAAAATTAATTGTTTAAAACTCTAGAACTCGCAACACAAAAATGGCAATAAAATGTTATCAACAAATCTTAATAAATAATGAGGGTTTGTTGTTTCTTTAAAAACTTCTTTTCCTCAAAGCAGGAATCCAATAATGATGATTTTAAAAACTGTTGGAAGTTGTACAAAAAATACTTTTTTAGTTTGCTACCATTTATCGGACAAAATCAACACAGGACTGATTATAGTTAGGGTTGTTCATTGTTTTGGTTCGTTTCTTAAAACTATTGATAAAACTTTCAACATTTCAAAACTGTCTTCTGTTAAAGTTTGCTTTTATCAAACGTTTCAATATTTTTATTCTCTGAAAAAAGTATCTTTGAAAAATGTTCGTTTTTTAGCATTTTTTTTTTCTAATGGTGAAAATTTGGTGTAAATTTAAGAAGAGCAAATATTTTAGAATAAATAAATTCAAAATTAGAAAAACTTCTTAGATTTGTGTGGAACCTCTTAAAAAGTCCAAATCCCCATAAAAAAACGAACTTATTGCACATCACTGGTTTCAGTAAGGCAGGTATAGAGGATGAGACTTCAGAGACAATTCTGCAGAAAACTCATCTCTTTGATCCCAAATTCTCATCTCTAGTGGGTAGGTATGAAGCTCAATTGACAATCATCATTTTAAATGTTTGAATTTTTTCATCCATGATGTTATTACCAGAAATTTTAAGCTGAAAAACAAATACAAATTCTTATGTTAAATATGTCAGAACTGAATAGTTTTATTCTTAAGCCCATAAATATGTATTTTGAACAGTTATCTGACATTTATAGGGAGACGACATTAGGTTATCTATATTTGCATTTGCATTTGCATTTTTTATAGCCAGTCGGTGCCATGGGGGATATCAATTTTAGTAGATTTAGCGCAAACCCAAACAAAACTTGTGTTCTCTGTTTTGATAAATTTCTGTTTTACTAAAAGTTGTTGAATGTGTATATGTGTATATGAACACTGTTTAAAGCAAAAAAAATCAGGACAATAATGTATGATAAATATATTTAAAATGTCGTCTTCTGTTTCACTAAGCCTGAACCGTTATGATAAGACTTTTATAGATTGTTAATGGGAGTAAAATGTCAAAGTATTCATACAAAATCAGACAAAAGATCAATTTAGGTAAACAGCCCTTCTGACAAATTTTAATTCAAATATTCTAATCTTAACATTTTTTCACGGGTTTATAAATGTCGCATAAATTGAAATATGGCATTTTTATCATCCGACTATTATATCGAAGTTATATGAACTAAACTTTATGACAAATCAGTTTGAATAAGAAATATAAAAATTTTAAACAAAATGTTGATATCATGACTATTGTTGAGAAGCACTTCGGCGCCGTTTCAATGAAAAGGAAAGAAATGAAAAATGTGTTCGATCTTTCATTTTACGAAAAAGACATTGGAAATTTTGATGATATCGATGAATAATCCTGAATAGTTCTTTAAAAATTTGCTTTTTAATTTTTGATTAGGTTAATGTTCTCAACTTATTCATTAGAAGAATAACTTAAAATTCTAACTAAATCAATTTTTAAGGTTACATATTCCACTCTCCGCTAAACCCCACTTTTCATTCGGTCATTGTACTGCAGATCACTGCAGTATGCACCAAAAGCTTAGATTAGAGTGTAACATGCAGACCACACTTTGAAAATTCCAGGATCGGAATTTTTGCTTGGATATTTTTACCCTTGATCTCAATATCCAATGTTTGAGGAATATTATGCTTAATCTCTTAATTTAAGTTGTCACTTGAAGACAAGATTTTTTAATTTCCCGATCTGGATAATAAATACCCATCACGGGATATCGAAGAGGAATAAAATGAATCCATAGATTTGTATAAGATGGAGGTCAATTATTGATCCATAGATCTGTTCAAGATGGAGATCAATTATTGATCTATAGATCTGTATAAGATGAAGATCAATTATTGATCCATAGATCTGAATAAGATGGAGATCAATTATTGATCCATAGATCTGTATAAGATGGAGATCAATTATTGATCCATAGATCTGAATAAGATGGAGATCAATTATATTGATCCATAGATTCAAGACACATAAGTTCTGCAACTTCAGCATCTTTTAAAATGCACTAAGCTATATCTCGTAGTTTAAGGAGATTATACATCTATTATGGTATGTATCTCTGATCTCATAAAGAAATCATGAATAAATACGTTCTTGATAATTTTCTCAAATATCTCAGTAATATTATGCCTAGGTTGCGATTTGCGAATACCTATTACGTAAATGTCTAATTCGTGAATGTCTAGTTTCTGAATGCCTAGATAACATTATGCCTAGATTTCTTAATGCCTAGCTTACAATATGCCTAGATTTCTGAACGCCTTGTTCATAATGCCTATATAACACAATGCCTAGATTCGTGAATGCCTAAATAACATAATGCCTAGATAACATAACAGGGAAGGGTGGATCTCGGGAGAGAGCCTAAAATCTGTACGGAGTTGTTAATAAGTCATAGAAAAACAAAATTTCCAGCTAAATTTTAGTAAAAAATTAGTCGAAAGAAATACTTAGGGACCAGGTTCCTTGTATATTTGTCCTTCAATGAATATTAATTACGGCTTAGCTACTTAGAAGTCTGTGTTAAACCCTATATAATATAATAATATATTCTAAACTTCAAAAACAAAAGAATAAATATTTATTTTTATTGGCAATACTGTCAGCTGATTTATATAATAAATAATAAATAAATAAACAATATAGATTTTGAAAAGGAGAAAGTTGGATAGAGAAGATTTGCAGGATTGGTTGAGGTTTCATAAAGAAGATTAGTGTTGGAAGAGGTTGAAGATTATGGTGGGATAGAGAAGATCAGGGTGGAAGAGAGAGAAGATTAAGGTTGGATAGAGAAGATTAGGGTTGAAAGAGGGAGAAGATTGCCAGGATCAGATTGGATAGAGAAGATTAGGATTGGAAGAGGTTGAAGATTTTAGTGGGGTAGAGAAGATCAGGATTGGAAGAGAGAGAAGATTAAGGTTGGATAGAGAAGATTAGGATTGGAAGAGGTTGAAGACTATAGTGGGGTAGAGAAGATTAGGATTAGAAGAGGTTGAAGACTATAGTGGGGTAGAGAAGATCAGGGTTGGAAGAGGGAGAAGATTGCCAGGATCAGGTTGGATTGAGAAGATTAGGATTGGATGACAAGATTGTCAGGATTAGGTTGGGTAAAAAAGTGGAGGGTTGGAAGAGGGAGAAGATTTTCAGGATCATGTTGGATAGAGAAGATCAGGGATGGAAGAGGGAGAAGACTAGTATTGGAAGAGAGGGGAGGAAATTTAGCTTGGCTTGAATAAGATGTTGAAATACTGTGATTTGGGTTTTTTTTCTCTAGACATGTTGGATTGGGATTCGGTAAGAATTAAAGATTAGAAAAACATTGTTGGGTTCGGAGCAGATAGTTTGGTTTAAGCAGCGTTGTTTAAAAATATGGTTTTGTTTTCTCGTCATAGTAGAGACAGGTGAGTGTCTGATCATCAAAGATACTGTTGTCTCCACAGTAGTGAATCCTGGGACTATCTCCGACACAAACAATATACGCGCTCTCATCTCCGGGTAGGGGGAATCTAGGGTAGGGCAGGAACCTAAATATTCAAGGTTTAAGTATTTTTGTTTTTTTAAATGTGACTTTTAACTTTTAAAACTTACCTTCTGGCAACAGCATTAGGAGGAAGCTCATGAGGGGCGGGGCACTTGAATCCGACCACGCCCTCGCTCTGCTTCTCACAGTAAGGTGTCTGATCTGGGTAGTTGCAGACGTGGAGTTCAGGGGAGTAAGCTAATCCTTTCTGGCAGGGAGTCTCGTAGGCTACTCCTGCTGCACACTAAATATATTAATCTTTATTAGATAATGATTTATCTTAAGAAATTGAGTCTTTACCACAAATTATGATATCATAATTTCTTTGCAACCCAATATCGTAGACCTCAGATATTTCAGACTATGAATTTTGTAAAATCAAATAATACAAGTTTGAAATATCAAAGGTTTTCACTATAATGTTACAAAGATTATCAATTCCTTTGGTGTACAAGATAAAATCATTTAAAGATAAAAATATTCGAGAAAATAAAATGTTAGGATGAATGTAAAATGAAAAGTGGGAGCGCGCATCTGAGAGAGAAGATGGGAATTATGACACCACAATAGATAACATTAGATAAATAGTGATCACTAGTTGAACTGAGTATAACTAGTTAAACAACTTCTCATTAAACTAAAGGTCGACTTCCACCACTCCTTGATATTCATTCTAATCTTTGAGCATATAAGAGGAAAAGAACAGAATGAAAACAATGATCAAACCAAAGTATAAGAGGAAAAGAACAGAATNAATCAGAACAATGATCAAACCAAAGAAAAGAATAGAATCAGAACAATGATCAAACCAAAGAAAAGAATAGAATCAGAACAATGAAAGTGTGGAAAATAAATGGGAGGAAAATTGTAAAAGTAAGAAAAAGATTTTGAAGAATGTAAAAATGAAAAAATGGAAAATTAGGAAAATAAAAAGTTAGAGTGCATAGCTGTGTTGAGTATATTATATGAATACTGTATAGAGAGAAGTGTTGAACCCAAATATTATCCAAATTATTAGTTTGTTCCCACCTCCCCCCTCCCCTCTAACCTGTACACGTTCAAAACATAATTGATACGTCAGGTTTGACATTTCATAAGTTTTGACAAGATTATTACATAATATTATACTTGTCAGGATATCAACTTAATACCCCTCCCTTGTTCACACGAAATAATATGCATAAACAAGTATGTGTTGATCATTCTTCGCTTTTCTTTAATCATGTTCTTGTTTATGTACTTTTAGTATACCTGTATATGTACTGCTAGTATTCCTGTATATGTACTGCTAGTATCCCTGTATATGTACTGCTAGTATTCCTGTATATGTCCTGCTAGTATTCCTGTATATGTACTGCTAGTATTTCTGTATTTGTAATGCTTATATTCCTGTATAAGTACTGCTAGTATTCCTGTATATGTACTGCTAATATTTCTGTATTTGTAATGCTTATATTCCTGTATATGTCCTGCTAGTATTCCTGTATATGTACTGCTAATATTTCTGTATTTGTAATGCTTATATTCCTGTATATGTACTGCTAGTATTTCTGTATTTGTAATGCTTATATTCCTGTATATTTACTGCTAGTATTCCTGTATTTGTAATGCTTATATTCCTGTAAAATTACTGCTAGTATTCCTGTATATGTACTGCTTATATTCATGTATATGTACTGCTAGTATTTCTGTATTTGTAATGCTTATATTCATGTATATGTACTGCTAGTATTCCTGTATATGTCCTGCTAGTATTCCTGTATACGAACTGCTAGTATTCCTGTATATGTACTGCTAGTATTTCTGTATTTTTAATGCTTAGATTCCTGTATAATTACTGCTAGTATTCCTGTATACGAACTGCTAGTATTCCTGTATATGTCCTGCTTATATTCCTGTATACGAACTGCTAGTATTTCTGTATATGTACGGCTAGTATTCCTGTATACGTACTGCTAGTATTCCTGTATATGTACTGCTATTATATCTGTACTTTAATGCTATTATTCCTTTATACGTACTGAAGGTATTCCTGTATATGTACTGCTAGTATTCCTGTATATGTCCTGCTTATATTACTGTATACGAACTGCTAGTATTCCTGTATATGTACTGCTAGTATTTCTGTATATGTACTGCTAGTATTCCTGTATACGAACTGCTAGTATTCATGTATAAGTACTGCTAGTATTCCTGTATATGTCCTGCTAGTATTTCTGTATATGTACTGCTAGTATTACTGTATATGTACTGCTAGTATTCATGTATAAGTACTGCTAGTATTCCTGTATATGTACTGCTAGTATTCCTGTATATGTCCTGCTTATATTCCTATATGTACTGCTAGTGTTTCTGTTTAAGTACTGCTAGTATTACTGTATATGTACTGCTAGTATTACTGTGTATGTCCTGCTAGTATTTCTGTATATGTACTGCTAGTATTACTGTTTATGTACTGCTAGTATTTCTGTATACGTACTGCTAGTATTCCTGTATACGTACTGCTAGTATTCCTGTATATGTACTGCTATTATATCCGTACTTTAATGCTATTTTTCCTTTATACGTACTGCTAGTATTCCTGCATATGTACTGCTAGTATTCCTGTATATGTCCTGCTTATATTCCTATATGTACTGCTAGTATTTCTGTATAAGTACTACTAGTATTCCTAAATATATTCACCTTGAAGAAAGTAGTCTGACATCCTTCTCCTACAGGATATATTCCGTACTGATACAGGCAACCCGGAGAAGAGATCGGAGTATCATCATAAACTCTCTTACCACAGTCTACTGCCCAGTTATAGTTACAGTGGTTGTGCACATATCCGTGTCCATCAAACACTAAACCATTCTCACAGCTCTCCTCCGTTCTAGTTCCTGAATATTACAATGTTTATAGAGAAGGAATTCGCAGCGGTCCGTGCCCTTTTAAAAGCATTTTTCAGGTATTAAAAACTAAATATTGAATATGTTTGTATCTCCTATTTATCTGAAGCTATGATAGTATTGGGTATGATAAAATTATTTACTCGAACTTTTAAGTCAACATCAGGTGCTCGAACTATCTTATGTATGTTATCAGGTACTCGAACGTGTATGTCAGTGTCATGTTCTCGAACTTTTATGTCGGAAATAGGTGCTCAAACTTTTATTCCCGTATCAGGTTCTCGAACTTTTATGTCAGTATCATTTGCATACGGGATTTACATATTAATGTCGGTGCCTTTAGTGTCAGTATTTATTTCAGTATCGTTAGTATTAGTATTTGTGTCAGTACCGTTATATCAGTATTTATGTCAATATCGTTAGTATCAGTATTTATGTCAGTATCGTTAGTATCAGTATTTATGTCAGTATCGTTAGTATCAGTATTTATGTCAGTATCGTTGGTATCAGTATTAATGTCAGTATCGTTAGTATCAGTATTTATTTCAGTACCTCTAGTAATAGTATCTATGTCAGTATCGTTAGTATCAGTATTTATGTTAGTATCGTTAGTATCAGTATTTATGTCAGTATCGTTAGTATCAGTATTTATGTCAGTATCGTAAGTATTTATGTAAGTGTATTAGGAAGTCGAAGTCATGATATCTGAAATTCACGCCACTGTACTTTCTAAATTAATGTTCAAAGTGTACTTTGTAAGAAATGAACTGTCTTAACGAGGAATTCACCCCCAAAAAATTTCCTTAGCGCACAACAAAATTTCGCAAAAACTTATTTTTAAATAAATTTGTTCGTAAAAAAAGGATTAAATGAAATTTAACCCCAACTTTAATCCTTATTAATTACCGTTTACACACAAATAAAACTTATCACAATAAGTCTCATGAGGATAGCTTTGAACTCCGTAGGATTCAGGGCACTCTGTGTACTGTGCTGTTGAAGCACCAAGAATAGATAAAATTATCAGTAGTTCCATGCTTCCTATCTCTGTAAAGACTGAGGGCCTAGTGAATTGAATCAGGGTGTTGGCTCCACCCAGTTCGGTTTCATTTTAAACCATGAAATGGCGTATTGTATGAAAACTATTCAGGTTTGATAGGGTAGTAATTATCTGGATACAGGGTCCAGGAATCCTGGGACTAATATTACGTAAAGATTATACCTCCCTTGCTAGGACGAAAAGTGGGTTAGAGAGAAGTGTATGAACCTTGTACAAGGAAGTGTTGAAGCTTGGGGCGCATGTGCTCCGACAATTGAGCTTAACAAAACCATGAGAAAAGGTCAGGAGTGCATAATGTCAGCTTGTAAATATAGAACACAGCCTTTTTATATACTTAGTAAACACAACCTTTATATACTTAGTAAACACAACCTTTATATACTTAGTGAACACAACTTTTATATACTTAGTAAACACAACCTTTATATACTTAGTAAACACAACCTTTATATATACTTAGTAAACACAACTTTTATATATACTTAGTAAACACAACCTTTATATATACTTAGTAAACACAACCTTTATATATACTTAGTAAACACAACCTTTATATATACTTAGTACACACAGCCTTTTTATATACTTAGTAAACACAACCTTTATATACTTAGTAACTCAACCTTTATATATACTTAGAAAACACAGCCTTTTTTATACTTAATAAACACAACCTTTATATACTTAGTAAACACAACCTTTTCATATACTTAATAAACACAACCTTTATATATACTTAGTAAACACAACCTTTATAAATACTTAGTAAACACAACCTTTTTATATACTTAGTACACACAGCCTTTTTATATACTTAGTACACACAGCCTTTTATATACTTAGTAACTCAACCTTTTCATATACTTAGTAAACACAACCTTTATATATACTTAGTAAACACAACCTTTAAATAAACATAACAATAACAAACACAGCTTTATAAATCAACATAAACACAAGTTTAAAGTGAACTTCGAACATTGAACTTAATGAACGTAACCTTTATGCATATTTACAAAATATAATAAACATAAGTTTAAATTGAGCTTAATAAACATAACCTTTATGCATGCTTACAAAACATAATAAACATAAGTTTAAATTGAACTTAATAAACAAAACCTTTATGTATGTTTAGAAAATATAATAAACATAAGTTTATATTGAACTTAATGAACATAACCTTTATGTATGCCTTAAAAACATAATAAACAAAAGTTTAAATTAAGCTTGTTAAACATAATATTTTTAAATGTTTACAAAACATAATAAACATAAGTTCAAATTAAACTTAATAAACATAACCTTTATGTATGTTTACATACATGTTTGAATGACAAAATGTCAAATTAAACATAAAACAAACTTTTGAATGTTTTTTCGTTTTTGTTAAGGTAAATGCTTCTGTTAAAAGCACTGGGGCTAGACTAGAAATGAACAACCTGGATCATAATTTACCTTTTTGTAATTTTCCAAATGAAGAAATAAATACCAGGTTTATACTATATTGACGTGTGACGGAATATTTTACAGATAAGAGCAAACATTGTTAGGTTATACAGTACACGTTCGATTACTTAGTGGAAACTTAAATACTTACTCTGTGAGTCTCAATCCTCTCTGGAAGAAACATCAGAATTGTGAGGTACAGCTGCACGGATCAACGAGACGGCCAATCAATAAAAATTGTGTAATTTATAGAATATACTTGTTTGTAAAATACAGTGATAAAGAACCTTATCTTTATTCTCTATTAAACCTTATCTTTTGAGTCATTTTATTAGATGTTCTTTGATATTCATATTTAGTAGTTCAGAACAAACTTTCAATTGTGATATTTGATAGTTTAGATTATCAAGTACAATAGATGGCAACAGAGAAATGAACCAATTATACTTGACATCACAAGTGTCAAATATAACAAGGAAGACAACATTTTCTCTCATTAGCTGACGTGTTTTCCAAGAATAAATAAAAAAGTGTAAAAACAGAAATAAGAACACAAAATTGCACTTATATCACTGTAAGAAATAGTGATTGATAATCTATTTAGTATAGTCCGTTAATAGTAAACTACTAGATATTGAATTAGGGGTCACATATACTTAACCAGTCTACATTTGCTGTATAAAACGATCTGGGTTCACTAAACACATGTCTTACTAGACAGGCTGGTACAAGTACATGTGTAATAGGTACAAATAAACTAACCAGTAAATCCTTATACTGGTTTGGATCATGCAACGATAGGACCCATGAACGGTTTCTACTGAATTATCAAATATGCATGTATTTTATGTTGATTTTAAGTTATTCCTAGTTGTTGATCCCTGCCCACGTGAATTTAACGGTTCTGTCAATATTCCAGAAAGCTGTGACTTTCGATCACAGTTTGACCTATTAAACATAATTTGTAAGCCTTTTTCCTTTTATACTTTTTTCTCGGCATATGCATTTTGAATGAAAATGTATAGAATAAAACAAATCCGTAAAGTAATAGATTGTTGAATTATAGACCAAAACACGTTTGATTTCAAATCGAAGAAACCGAATGCTGCTCACTCTGGTTAGTCCGGTGTGTGCCGGTTCTTAGTTTGTATTGTCCCCCAAGAAATTGTTCAATAATTAAGACTTTGATTTGTTGATTAGTATCTTTTCGTCAACAGCTCAGAGGAACAGCTTAACTAAGTCTCAGTATGTAATTTTCTTCTTTACCACCCTAATGGTATAAACCTTAGATTTTATTTAGAGTTGGTCTATTTGATTTATTAGAATTCGTGGTTTGAAAATACAAAGGTTTACGACATCGGAGTCTAAAACTAAAGAATGCGCGGATTTTAAGTTCGTGGTTAAAAGTTCTGTAAAATAATGAATTCAGAGTTAAAATAAATTTAACCATGAACTTAAGTTGTAACGACCAATCAGAAGACGCGGATATTTTTCAACCAATCAAAGACTCGGATAATTATCAGCTGTAATCACAAATTGAAAAACATTTAGTCGCCATCTTGTTCGTTACGGAGAATTTTGTAGGCTCTTATATTTCTACATATCTCAGAGTTTTTAGTCAATAGTAGTTGTTTTGTTTTGTGTTATTCAATTAAGGAAGGATGAGAGCAGGTCGGAGGGCTAGACTGGAGAGACTGGAACTTAAAATTTAAGTTAAAACTTTTCGTTCTTTAGTTTTGGACTCTGGGTGCAAAGATACAAGGTTTTAAGTATGAGAAAATTAATCAGATTTTTGTACAGAACTTGGACAAAATATTTCACAAGAAAATCAAGAGTCAGTGAAAATTTACGAGATCGGACTAAAAAAATAATTGTGTTTTCTTTTAGTTTCTATAAATATATTACACAGGGCCTTTTTAAAATAAGTTATAAATGTTTTTTATTTCAGTTTTATTTGCAAAATGGAGGTCGGAAATAAGACCTACAAATGCAATCTTTGTAGTTCAAGGTTCTCTGATATTTCCGGTATACAAGATCATCTTATCAGCTCTCATAGAGAACACCTGCCTGAAGTAGAGGAAAGTGAAGGAGAAGACTTGCTTGATGAGGTGGAGGAGGATGATATAAGAAGGTTTGATGACGTAGAGAGAGAAGAGGTGTTGGGTAGAAGGGAGAGGGAAGTAGAGACAAGAGGAGAGAGGATTGAAGACATGATGATTCAAGGTTAGTTCTCCTCCTCTACTCTATGTATTCTATTAAAAAAGAAAAGATTTATTGTACCATATTTCAGAGGAGGGAGGAGTAATAGAACAGTCTGGATACAGACAACAGGTATGCAGTTCACGCTATCTAAGTATTCAGGTATTCTGATCGGTAGCTACCAAATATACCCAGATTCTCAGGTAATAAAACATAATTTATCCAACCCAGGTGAAGACTACTGGGATAACTGCAAGAAAATTTATGCTCAGCTTTGGTTGGATGACTAATAACGTTAAGTTAATGTATGTTTAGCTATGGTTGGATGAGGATGAATAACTGTAGATAAATGTATGTTTAGCTATGGTTGGATGAGGATGGATAACTGTAGATAAATGTATGTTTAGCTATGGTTGGATGAGGATGGATAACTGTAGATAAATGTATGTTTAGCTATGGTTGGATGAGGATGGATAACTGTAGATAAATGTATGTTTAGCTATGGTTGGATGAGGATGGATAACTGTAGATAAATGTATGTTTAGCTATGGTTGGATGAGGATGGATAACTGTAGATAAATGTATGTTTAGCTATGGTTGGATGAGGATGGATAACTGTAGATAAATGTATGTTTAGCTATGGTTGGATGAGGATGGATAACTGTAGATAAATGTATGTTTAGCTATGGTTGGATGAGGANTTATTTCCCAACCAGGGTTAAAATTTATTTCTCAACCAGGGTTAAATTTATTTCCCAAACAGGTTTAAATTTATTTCCCAACCAGGGTTAACTTTATTTCCCAAACAGGGTTAAATCTATTTCCCAAACAGGGTTAAATTTATTTCCCAAACAGGGTTAAAATTTATTTCCCAACCAGGGTTAAATTTATTTCCCAAACAGGGTTAAAATTTATTTCTCAAACAGGTTTAAATTTATTTCCCAACCAGGGTTAACTTTATTTCCCAAACAGGATTAAATCTATTTCCCAACCAGGGTTAACTTAATTTCCCAACCAGGGTTAAAATTTATTTATCAACCAGGGTTAAATTTATTTCCCAACCAGGGTTAAATTTATTTCCCAACCAGGGTTAAAGTTATTTCCCAAACAGGGTTAAAATTTATTTATCAACCAGGGTTAAATCTATTTCCCAAACAGGGTTAAATTTATTTCCCAAACAGGGTTAAAATTTATTTCTCAAACAGGTTTAAATCTATTTCCCAACCAGGGTTAACTTTATTTCCCAACCAGGGTTAAATTTATTTCCCAACCAGGGTTAAAGTTATTTCCCTAACCTAGGGTTAAAATTTATTTATCAACCAGGGTTAAATTTATTTCCCAACCAGGGTTAAATTTGAGGTTTTTGAAATTAAAAGAATGACACTTACGACTCTCTTTCTCTCTTTTTCTTTGGCGAAACATTATGTTATTAGAATTTTAGTTCTTCATTAAAGTCTTAAGCTTGTTATGGGTAGATCTGTTTGTAAAACTTTGTATCAACCTTTTATAATAGATCTTTTAAAATTTGATCAAGACTAGTAACTGCTAAAAATATGAGAAATATTGGAGAAAATTTACCATAATGTAAATAGACCAAACTATACTCGTACGTCAGTGATCTGCAGTACTCTGACCGAAGAAAAGATGGGTTTCCGTGGAGGGAGAACGGAGTTTTGTATCAGTTTATTAGTTATTTGTTTTTGTTCTCCATTAAAACTTTATTTTTTGAAAATCTTAATTTTTTTTTCTTTTTAATTTGTTTTTAAATGTGGCAATTTGTCAAGTACAAGGTGTGACCAATTTGGTTTGATAAGAAAATTATGGGTACTCGTAGAAGTCTCAGCCTTGAAGTTTTTTTTTAAGTTCTTATACCGGATTATTTTTCAGGTCAGTTGATGCCAATCAGATCTTTGTAGTAATTGTAATGAGCATTCTCCTGAAGTATATCAGATTCGTTCGTCACAACAAGAAAAATTTCAAAATAGTTCCAAACTTGATCCAAGAAAGTCTGTTTTAGACCCTTTCAGAACGACCAAAAGAAAAGAGAGATCAAGTATTTAATGTATGAAGGACCATTGAGGATTTTTATGACTTTGATTTACATACGAGATACATAATCCATGTCATCCCTTTGATCCTATGTCGGAGATTTTTGGACAAATTTTGCCCAGATTTTTGTAATTTTTTAATCTTAATGTAAAGGCACATATCAAACTGACTGGCAAGCATACTTCTAGAACCCTTGCCAATAAAGTTTGAACAATTTTCAATATTTTCGGCCATTTTTGGGGTCTTGATGATCTTTTTCCGCCCGGACATGTCATAATCCTACAAAAATTCATTTTTCCCTTTTAACCCCATTAAACTGCCATTAAAGTTAATAAAATTGTTTTAAAATAAAATAAATAAAATAAAATTGTTTCAGGGTTCTGTTTGGTTTTTACATCGTCTAATAACCGAGCCTCCAAAGTATCCTCTATCTCTGATCAATATTCTAGATATTCCTATGCTGTGACAACGAAGCTAGTTCACCTTCAGGAGAACACTCCTTACATCACAACAACAATCTGCTTGACGCCAACCTAACCAAAAATATATCTAGTATAAATATAGTGAACTTAAAAAAACATTTAGAGCACGAAAATCTTAACGAAATTTATTGATCACAGTGGTACGTTTCCGAAATAGATAAATATTCTATTCAGGGAAGACGACAGTAAGTTCTCGTCTAAGAAGGAAGCATACTTCAAGCTTAAACCAAACCCCGAATATTCAACCTATCAGGTAAACAACTTGAATTCAACTTTAACAAGTTAATAAATAGGTTAATAATAACTAACTGAAGGGTCCGGCGTTGTCCGTGGGAAAAAAAATTGAATTTTTTTTAGCCTATAATGTCACTCCCAGGCTACCCAAGTGTCCAAAAAAATGTCAGCCCATTTGGTCCAGCCGTTTGGCAGTCTATAGGGAACATATATACGACTGTCTTGTTTTTATATAGATTTTAACTCTTATAACATTCTTATAAGGCCGGAGATCAACTTTACAACCAAAATAAACAAATAAAACAAATCTCTTATTTTTAGTAAAGTCATTAATAAGTTGAACAAACAGTAATTCGAGTAACCTGCAATTAGTGGAATCTTTTTTGTTTAATTTTTGAATAAGAACCGTTGTTAAATATGTGATTTGAAACAGTTATATCCTAATATATATGGGAAAGGGCATATTTTTAGAGGTATAACAATTATATATTAAATATAATGAAGACAAACCTTACATAATTTCAGGAGTACAACACCAATCCAAACATTACATAATTTCAGGAGTACAACACCAATACAAACATTACATAATTTCAGGAGTACAACACTAATAAAAACATTACATAATTTCAGGAGTACAACACTAATACAAACATTACATAATTTCAGGAGTACAACACCAATACAAACATTTCATAATTTCAGGAGTACAACACTAATACAAACATTACACAATTTCAGGAGTACAATACCAATACAAACATTACATAATTTCAGGAGTACAACAACACCAATACAAACATTACATAATTTCAGGACTACAACACGAAAATTATCTCCAGCATGAATTTTATACCCAAGGAACTGTTACATACAATTTGTTACAATTTTGTTATATTTCCTATTTCTATTTGTTACACTACTTGGTCATTTGGTCACACATCTTTTTAAACTATGTCTAATTGCTTTCCAAGATGGGACACGGCATAAATATCTTTTTCAGTAAACTTAAACTTAATGAGCGTGTATGTCAAATTAAAAAAGTTAAGAAATCATTGATTGGAAACAAGACATCTGTACTCTTTTTAAAAATGATTTCCAAAACTTAATTTGTAACCGGATATTTGCGTGGAGGTGTTTGGACAAGATTTTAACGATTTTACGAGATCCTTGGCTACATTTTCACTCGGCAAGAGAACATTGAGAAAAATTCAGGGAAAATTCGGCATGGCAGTGTACAACTATTTTAAGGCAAGTTTGGTGATGTACAACTATTTCAAGGCAGGTATGACGATGTACAACTATTTTAAGGCATGTATGACGGTGTACAACTATTTCAAGGCAAGTATGGTGGTGTACAACTATTTCAAGGCAAGAATGGTGGTGTAAAACTATTTCAAGGCAAGGTTTCCAACGTAATAGATTATTCTCTGACGCGTAATTACGTGCAGTTACGCGTAATAATTTTCATTTCGTGTAATTTCGCAGGATTACGCGTAATTGGGGAAATATCCATTTCACAAAATTACGGCGTAATTTCGCGTAATTTCTACAACGTAATTTCGCGAAATTTCATAATGATTATGCGTAATAAGCCAAACTATAATTACCCATAATTATGGCGTAATTTCCAGTAATTTCTATAACGCAATTTTGCAAAATTTCGTAATGATTACAGGTAATAAGCGAAACTATAATTACGCGTAATTACAGCGTAATTTCGCGTAATTTCTACGAGGTTATTTTGCGAAATTTTGTATTAATTAGCGAAACTTCAATTTCGCGAATTACGCCGTAATTTTGCGAAATTTTGCAATAATTACATCTATGAAATTTTGAAACTTTAACTTTTAATTTAAATAAAAAAAACTAACTTACAAGGAAAATAATGTCACACAAGTTGAATCAGAAATATGTTGATGTAATTTTCACATTGGACAACTAAAAATCTCAATGAATAATAATTGTCCTAAAACATTTTTTTTTTTAAGTGAATATTTGAAAATTATCTTTTTTCCATCTGATAATCTGAGTTCTTTTCGCTTATGTCCATTTGACAGCCCAAATTTTTATTTTGAATAATCTTTTTTTTGGTCTATTTTCTTGTGATTTTTAACAAACATTTTTATATATTTTTTTTATCGATTTTGATGGTTATTATATCGTTACAACTGACAAGGGTCAACCCAGACTGAAAAATATTTTAAATAAATGTGGAACTAACATCTACTTTTTTACTCTACAGAGGTTTGGTCCATCACCATCACCCTATTTTAAATAAAAAAGGGCCAACAATTTATTTTTATCAAAAAAATACATTTTCAATTTTCGACGACTTGTTAATATTTCAACCTACTTTCTCAAGTATACCTTCCTTGTTTGAAAAAAATGTCAATGAAATTGTCAAAATATGTTTGACTTGGTTATAGCGGGCATATCCTTACACATATTTTCCTTCCCGCTATAATTATTTCTGAAAATTAAGATGTACTTTATTTATTACGGAATTGTTTCGTATTCCGTAATTTCGCGTAATTACGCATCAATTACGTAAACTAGACTTTCTTTCGTAAACGTAAGAAGCGCGTAATTACGCGTACTGCTCCTGCGTAAGTGAAAGAAAGTGTTACGCGTAATTACGGCTGGAAACCCTAATTAATATTATTATATATAGTCCGTATAGTCCGTATTTCGTCACAATGACTTTAGCCAATGACAGTGCAGTATCGTTGTCACATGGTACAGATGGTAAATCACGTGACCAGTATACGGCACTGACATTAGCTGAAGTACTGGTGACGTAATACAGACTATACGGATTAAATGTAATAAAATTATTAATTATATCTATAAAAAATGCAAAATAAAAATTAAATAATTATAACAGGAGCAAACCTGAGATTTTCACATTGCTGTGAGATAGTCATTTTCAGATAGTTGGGTAATTGTTGAATATGATCTGTTTAATGCTACAACTTTTATACAAATCTGACAAATGCCCCTTTTGGTATAATTTTGACACAGTTTTATTTCAATTTCTTGAGACAGAAACATAAGATAGATGTCTTATAGGTATCGTTCTAAACCTCATCTTCTTTATATTTTTCAACAAACAATTCCTGTTTAACCTTTTTTAATTCTAAACCTTTTTTAAACCTACAATAGTTCCGATGGCGCAGATGCTAACAATATTTCTCAGATTTATGTGGGACCCATATGAATACCTATTTTTTAACTTTAATAATTTATTTTTAATTAAATTTTACAATAGTTTTAAATATTTATATGATATCAGATGAAAATATTTTGATAAATCTATATTTCTCTTTCTTCTTGTTCATCTTTCATACATCTTTCAATCATACAACAGCTAATTTTGAAAAAAGGATGTTTTTGTAAATTAGCCATTTTTACAAGAAGGACCATTTTTAAAAGATCTTGTTTTTTTCTGAGCCCTGTATTCATTTAGAGTTAATTGTCTGTTTTCTTAAAAAGCTGACCAGGCAATTTGTAGTATTTCAACTCAGCTCAGGCTCAGCTCTGTATTTATTGCTTACACATGTTTACTAGAGTGGGCTTTACACATTTCCTAGATCATTTAACTTCAGGGCAGGGAGGGTGGTGGGACGTCTCCCATCCTGTTTTTGTCTTTATTCACTATCAATAAAAAAAAGATAGTGTAAAGCTCAAAACACCCCTTCTAATTTTTCTGTTCTTTATTTTCTTCTTTTTTCTTGTTTATCTTGTTTTGCACTTTAAGACCTTTCCAAATAGTCCTTTGAACATCCGAGTTGTGGAAAAGGTAGAGGAGAGAGATTAGGAGATTTGTAGGAAGAAGGGTATAGGAAATTGCTTCCTGTGTTCCTTCATTTTATACTGTTTCCCAGTTTGGGGAATTATAAGGAAACTCATAACTGCACCCCTTATGCAAAATGAGGGGTTGTAAGCCCTGTAAAGCCCTGTTGAGGGGAATCTTCTTTAGTAGTCCAGTCCTCAGTCCATTCCTCACAGCCGGTTGAGTAAAAAACCAGTATCATTGTGCATGTATACCCATCAGGGGCTAAATTACTTCTTTCATCTACAGTGAACCCAGAAAACACAAAACCAGAAAGGAAAGTTTTAATCTATGTATAGTTCTTGCTTCCTCTGTAGTATATTAGATGCACAACTAAACACAGTGCTCATCCGGCTGTAAGGCTGGGACAAGGCTGCGACCCATATAAGATAGGTCCTTTCTCTCTGAAGTCAATAAGGCAACTGATATGAATACCTATAAATATTAAGGATTCTTTTCAATTAAAATAATGTTTTGCTAAATCTTATTGTTTCAGTTCCTGAAGTGGGCCTGTACCCTCAACCTTGTCATGGCAGTTTTTATATTCGGAGTTTTAACCGTTTCAAGCTACATAGTAGAGGTTCGTGTAAACACAATAAAAATAAAAACAAATTTTTTATTTGATTAATTTGATTAATTCTTTTATGTGTAGGAGGTTCCCCTTCTTAAAAATTGTAATGAATCCACATACATCGACGGTAAAGAAAATTCATGAAATCATATTTTTTCCTTCAAGATTATTAAAACTTTTTTCTTGATTTCCATTCAATGGATTTGATTGATATTTCAGTTTAATTATCTTTATTGTACAGTGATAGGCGATTATTTCAATACAATGAAGACGACTTTTGATTTCAATTTTGATTTATATCAAATTGCTAACCAGCATGGATACACTGAAATATAATAGTCAAGAAAAACTGTACATTAAAAAGTTTCTCTTTGATTACGTATAAACCTGTAATTCGAAAAAAGCTTGTTAACAATCAAAATTTTGATAAAAAGTCGTCTTCAGTGTATTGTTATAATCGCTTACCCCTGTATTTTTATTAAAGAATTTATCTAAAATATTTGATCTAGTTAATGATACCAGTTTCTATTATCCTGAGTACTCGGATCAATGCTGTTCTTCTAACTACCTAAACCAGGTTTATGTGCAGTACATATATGTACTTATGCAGTACACTTAGTAGCCTTTCATCATTTCTTATTTATTTCTGATAATCCTGCACTTCTTTTATTTTATCTAAAAATCCAATGGCTTTCTTCTATTAAACTTATCCTCCTAACTCATTAATCACGCTATTTTATATATGCTTATTATTTCTCAGTAATTTAGGTATGATTAAATATCCAACATCAAATTACAACAATTTTTATCATTCTCATCGTCTTTAATCATCAATATTTTTATTTCAAGACTAAACAAGGACAATTATTCAACACAACAAGTGCCTCAGCTTTCTTCTCCAGTTTGCAAATATTTCTCCAGGATCTTTTTCAAGGTTCAGGGTAAGTTTATCCATTATATAGTCTAGGGTTCAGGGTAGGTTTATCCATACTCTAGTCCAGGGTTCAGGGTAAGTTTATCCATACTCTAGTCCAGGGTTCAGGGTAGGTTTATCCATACTCTAGTCCAGGGTTCAGGGTAGGTTTATCCATACTCTAGTCCAGGGTTCAGGGTAGGTTTATCCATACACTAGTCCAGGATTCAGGGTAGGTTTATCCATATGATAGTCCAGGGTTCAGCTGGGAGGTTTATCCATATACTAGTCCAGGATTCAAGGTAGGTTTATCCATTTATATAGTCCAGGATTCAGGGTAGGTTTACTCGTATACTAGTCCAGGGTTTAGAGTAGGCTTATCTATATTCTAGTCCAGGGTTCAGGGTAGGGTTATCCATATACTAGGCTAGGGTTCAGGGTAGGTTTATCCATATTTTAGTCCAGGGTTCAGGGTATGTTTATCCATATGTTAGTCCAGGGTTCAGGGTATGTTTATCCAAATTCTAGTCCAGGGTTCAGGGTAGGTTTATCTATATATAAGTGTATATTCTAGGTGGATGGTAGACTCCTACTTCTACTATGGAAAATATGCTCCGGACAACAAGTCAGAAAGATTCCAGATGGATCTTGCTTACTGGTTCATCATTCTTTCATGCTTTCTACTTTCTCTAATTTCTACAGTTTGGTAAGCTTACTGGTTCATCATTCTCTCATGCTTTATCCTTTCTCTAGTCTCTACAGTTTGGAAAACCCCATTAAACTGCCATTANCGCTCCTTCTATTCTTATCTAATTCCATCATCATTTCAAATATTGCCCTCGACAAAAATTATTAAATATCTGAAAAAATGGACATTTAACAAAGTAATAGAAACCATAGTTTGAAGTATTTGCAAAGACAACGGTATCTGACGATTTGATTTTGTGGCAAAGCAGCATTCAATTCCTTTCTAATCAATTTAACGTCGTAGATTAAATAAATATTTCAAAATGAATTAAACCAAGTTTTAAATATCGAAGGTCTAAACCATCAAGTTGCAAAGATATCGGGATAAGAAAATTTGAGTTTGAATATCTTAACTGACTTTTTTTAAGGTCGTCAGCCAACTCCTTCGAGCAGAGTTTCAAGTGGAATAAATTCAACAAGGTTCAATACTTTGATCTGAGTTTCTGTAACTGGGACTTCTGCTTGGATACAATCCAGGCAGTCCATGTCAAGCAGGTCAAGTTTATGCACAGTTTAACTTTGGAGAAACCGAAACAATTTATAAAATGTCGTCTTCTTAACCTACTGATAATGGAATGTTGCAGATATTTAGTTTTTAATTGAATAAGTATATGGTTTTTAATTGAATAAGTATATGGTTTTTAATTGAATAAGTATATGGATTTTAATTGAATAAGTATGTGGATTTTCATTGATTAAGTATATGGATCTCTTTATAACTGTCCTGCATATTTCATGACTATTTATTTATTTTTACAATTACTGATATTTAGGTATCATATTTTTAAAAAAAATCAATGAAAAATGGCCAAGACGACTTTTTAATTATTTTAAACTGTATCAAAACTACATTTATTTACTCATCTAATTGGTATAACTGAATTTAGAAAGTATTTTTAAGGAATAAAACTGTAGACACAAATTTGAGTGAGTCTTCATCTCTTAAGTGGCATGTCCGGTTCACAACAATACTCTTTAAACCTCCTTTTCTATCATAGAATTAATTTTCTTCAATTGCGGTTATCTATGTATAAAGAGAAAGAGAAGATTATTGTCAGAATTCAACCCTTTTACCGGACTTCGATATCTTCCTTATTGTTTACAGATAAAGGTTTAAATGGTACTGTTGTGCATCGGACACACAACTCATGGAGGGTAACTCATGGAGGGTCCCTTCATGGAATGTAACGAACAAAAATAATGAAAGGTCTGAAAAAAAGTATTCTACAAAAACTTTAATAGAACATTTAACAAAACTCTTTAAACATTGGCGAATATGTATGTACAGTTGTGAGTAAATCACAACGATTTTTGGCGCAATTATTTTGCAATAAACTCTATTTCCTTGTCATGAAAAAAATGCGTTGACACTTTATCTTTGGTTCAGGATGTTCTGAAGAACGAAGCAAGGACAGCTTTAGAAACTGACAGGATGCAGGCTCTTCAAGATGACAGAACTAGAGGTATAGCATGATAACAAAAACAAATCTTGGAGTAAATACAGTGAAACCCTTAATAACGAATAAATCGAAAGAATTCATCAAATGTCGTATTCTTCACTTTCTGATAATGGAATGTTGCAGATATTTCGTTTTTTAATTAAATGATTACATGGAACTCTTTAAAACTGTTCCCACATATTCATGGCTATTTATTTATTTTCGCAAATACT